CGTAAATACAAAACAGAAATAGACTCACAGACATAGAATACAAACTTGGTGGTTGACCGAAGGGGCAGGGGGTGGGAAGAGATAGACTGGGATTTCAAAAATTGTAGAATAGATAAACAAGATTATACTGTATCGCACAGGGAAATATATACAAGATCTTATGGTAGCTCAGAGAAAAAATGTAACAATGAATATATGCATGTTCATGTATAACTGAAAAATTGTGCTCTACACTGGAATTTGACACAACATTGTAAAATGATTATAAATCAGTAAAAAATGTTAAAAAAAAAAGCAAACTTCAGTTAAGGTGTTCAAAAGCAGGTGTGGAACAGTTGAATATAAATAAAAACAATAATAAAAGTCAATATTTTAAAAGCTAAAAAAAAAACAACAAAGAAGATACAAAGACTATCCATGAAACCCAACAATGAGAAAACAAACAACCTAGTCAAGAAATAGACCAAAGACCTTACCAGACACCTCACCAAAGAGGAAAAGCAGAAGGCAAATAAGCATATGTGATGCTCCACATCGTGGGTTATCAGAGGATGCAAATTAAAACAATGATGAGATACCACTACACACCTATTAGAATGCCCAAAATTCACAACACTGGCAACACCAAAGGCTGGTGAGGATGTGGAGCAATAGGAGCTCTCATTTCTTGCTGGTAAGGATGCCACTTTGGAAAGCAGTTTGGTGGTGCCTACAAAACTAAACATACTCTTTCCATTTGATCCAGCAAACACACACCTCGGTATTTATCCAAGGAAGTTGAAATGTGTCCACACAAATGCCTGTCCATGGATATTTAAAGCAGCTTGATTCAAATAGTTTTTTTTTAAATACTACATTTGCTTTATTCCTTTTTTGGGGGGGGAGAGGGGGTTAGGTGGTAATTAGGTTTCTATTTTTTTTTAGTGGAAGTACTGGGGATTGAACCCAGGACTTGTGCATGCTAGGCACACACTCTACCCCTGAGCTATACACTCTCCAAAGCAGCTTGATTCAAAATCGCCAAAACTTGGGTTTTCAAGATGGTGACTGAATAAAAAAAAAAAAATGTTATGCATCCAAACAGTGGAATGTTATTCAGCACTAAAAAGAAATAAGCTATCAACCCATGAAAAGATATGAAGGAACCTTCAATGCATATTACTAAGTGAAAGAAACCAATCTAAAAAGGCTACACACTGTATGATTCCAACAATATTGGCATCCTGGCAACGGTGAAACTGTGGAGACAGAGAAAAGATTAAGAAGATCCAGTGGTTGCTAGGTTAGGACGGAGGAAAGGGTAAACAGGTGAAACTCAGAGGATTCTTAGAGCAGTGAAACTGTTTTGTTTGGTTCTGTGATGATGGATCCGTGTCATTATAAATCTGTGCAAAGCCATAGAACGTAGAACCCGAGAGTGAACCCTAATGTTAACTATGGACTCTGGGTGACAATGATGTATCAGTGCAAGTTCATCATTGTAACAGATGTACCGCTCTGGCTGGTGGGGAACGTTGACAAGGGGGGAAGCTGTGAATGTATTGCAGGCAAGGGATACATAGGAAAGCTGCATGCTTTGTCTCAGTTTGGCTGTGAACCTACAACTGCTCTAAAAAATAAAGATTATTTTTTTTAAACTTAAGAAACATAATTGTAAGATCATCTTTATAGCTACTTCTCAGACCATTCTAATAAAGAAGGTCTTTCTATATCATTAATCATCATTTTTTTCGACCTGCCTTTTTCTCAGCTGTGTATGCAGGGGTGAGAAATATCAGCGTCTCTCCTCCAAACTGGTACCACCTGCAGGTAACTTCAGGTCACCAGAGGAATAGGCGGGTGCATTTACTGGCATTATGTTCCAGCCAAGATGCTCAGTTTTAAACAGATATTAACTCATTTAATCATCAAAGCCACCTTATGAAGAAATGTTATTATCCTTGTTTAGCAAATGAGAAAACAAAGCTCAGAAACATTAAGTAACTTATTGAAAATTACTCATCAATAGGAAAGAGAATATTATTGCAGAAAGTACATGACTTTGGAGTGAAGGGGACTCAAATCATGTCATTTACTAGCTATGAACATGGGCCAGTAACTTAAACAGCTTTGTAGACGGAAACGACGTCTCTAAAAGCTTGGCACATGGTACATACTTATTAAACAGTGATCCAACCTTCTCCTAGACAGCAGTGCGACTGTGATTTGACTCCTCTGCTGTCTGACTCCAAAAATCCATGCTCTCTGCCCTCCATAGTCTCCCTGCAATAGAAAGCTGCCTTGTGCAGATCTGGGGTATGTGTTTTTGCCCAGTACAGAGCTGGGAAAGGATTATTATCCATAGCAACGTTAAAATGGAGTATTTAAGTATTGATTTACTTTTATTTCATATGACTTCCTTCAAAACCTCCTGTTTACTAAAAATTCAATTGAAATTATTAGCCTATAGGCATTTGTGGATACACGACATATGCAGCTCTAATAAAAACAGATTAACCCCTCTCTTTCATATTTTACACTGCATCAGGCCCTGAAAACTAAGTCTGATGTAATAGATCTCTTTTGTGGTTTTAATCATAACAATTGTACCAAATGACTTTTTTTTGTGCATGTGATAACATCATAATGGGAAACTAAATCGATAGCATATTTCTCAATCTAATTATATGCCGTGCATTTCTAAACCAGTTTTAATGAAATACAATAAGTGGGAGTGTGGAAATTAGAGGAGGCTAAAAAAAAAAAGGCAATTGCAAATAATACTGTCAGGGACAGGAATAGTATGACAGGCTAGTGTGCGAACAATGCCTCCCCACTGTGACTGGACGATAAAAAGCCAAAGGGGGAGGGGATCATCCAAACAAATCACTATTTTCAGAAACGGGCATTTTTACAGAATAAGCGTAGAACAGGAATCCAAAAATGGAAAAAGAAGCATCTGAGACTGCAAAACGCATCTACACACAGACCTCACCTGTGTATCCCAGTTAGGTCACCAATTTATAAACACATTAACACCTTCATATACATTTCAAATAACATCTTTCCCTATTTAGAAGAAAAACTCAAGCTCATCGTACAAAATTTGGAAAATATTGAAAGACACAAAGAAAAAACACATTGTAACCCAAAATCCACACGCAGAGATAACCCTGGTTTACAATTTGCTCAGTTTCCTTTATTTTTTTCTTCCTATGCAAGCATATGTATTTGAAATGGTACAATAATCCCCTTGAATGCATAGTCAGATAGCTCCACGTAATAAAGTAGACAGCCCACAAGCAGATCCTGATTCAAAAATATGTACTTGTGTAAGTGCTTTGTTGGTTTTCTAGGGTGTCATAACAAAGGAGAGCTGGAAAAACAAGTTTTTCTCACAGTTCGGGAGGTTAGGATGGTTGAAATCAAGGTGATGGCAGGCCTGGCCTCTCCCCTTGGCTTGCAGATAGCCATCACCTCTCCGTCACCCCAGGTCTCCCCACTGCGTGTGCCTGTGTCCACACCTCCTCCTCTTACAAGGAGACTGGGCGTACTGGATTAGGTCAACTGTAACGACCTCATTGTAACTCAGTTGCCTCTTTAAAGACCCAATCTCCGAATACAGGCCCATTCTGAGGTACCAAGGGCTAGGACTTCAACATACAAATTTTGGAGGGACGCAGTTCAGCCCCTAACAGGAGCCAAGTGTGGCAATACAAGCACATCACATCCAGTAGGAAGATAATTCCTTCTAGGCCCTGCGGCAAGTACTAGAGACATAAAAGTTAGTTAACAGAGTTCCTGTCCTGACGAAGCTTAAATCAGTGGACAAAGGAGGGGCTATGTAGTAAATGTTGCCCGGAATTTATTAATACTCTGAGAAAAATAGGTAAAGACTCACCTCATACCGTTATCGAACCCAAGTTTGTATGCCCGACGCACAGTGAGGCCAAAAAATACCGAAACGCTGGAGTTTGGAGCAGAGAAACTTTCCCGGCTGGGTTGAGCAAGGAGAATGACTGACTCACGCACAAACCCCAAACTCCTCAAAAGCTTTCACCTGAGCATTTTTAAAGGCCAGCTGAGGGCGGGGCATGCCGGGGAATGTGATCAGCTGTGCACAATTCTCTGATCAATGATGATCAGTCCTTAGGCACCAAAAGGCCTGGGGGCTACAGTGCTCATGATCATCAAGGAGTTAATTTCTCTCACTTGGCTGTGGAGTTTAGCATCTGAGATACTCAGGAAGAATGCAGGAGATACTATTACCTGGGTACTTCAGAGACGAGATACAGCAGAGAATCTGGGGAGAGGTCTGCCCCAGCAACGCCCCTAGGGTCCTGCTCACTTACAATACTACATACCAAAATAAATGACATATTTAGTAAAATGATAAATGTTAAGGAGAGGAACAGAAAAGAGGCAGAAAAGAAGGAGGAACTCAAGGGATAGGGGAAGAGGAGAATGGAGAAGAGGAAAAAGTTGAAAATGGAATTGGGTTTTATTTATCTTACCTATGAATGGTGTAGGTATTTTGTTTTAAATTCATTACTTCATTCGTTTAACACTAGTTGACCATCTACCACATGCCAGGTGTTCGGCTAGGCACAGAAATGAACCAGGGTTTTTTAGGTTTGTGCACATTGGAAGGAGCCCCCCAGCTTGTTTGTAACATAAATACAAGTTCACATTGTCTTTACCTTTCTGCTCGATATTGACTTCATCTCTGTGCCAATGTCACAAGCTGTACGCAGTCAGTATGCTCCTGCAGAAGTTGTTTTCAAGACGTTTTTTTAAATCAGATCATATTAGAAATGCACAGAGAGCCGGCTGCTCAAAGGAGCCCTAGAGAGAACCCTGTGGTTAAAAGAAATATCCTTATGTACAGAGGGGAACTCACCTTGGTTCCAGGGCTGTGTCACTCCCAACTGTCATACCTGCGTCCTGGCTCACAGGTCATGCCTGAGCGCTCATCTGTGTTTGCCCTGTCTATCCTTCTGCCTTGGATGACAAACCCCTGGAGGTTGGCCCGCCACATCTGTTCCCTTCTTTGTGTCCAGTGTCACAATGAAGCATTCACAGAGCGATCTTAGTAAATGCTTTCAGTTGCTGATAACGGATGCAGAAATGAACCTCAGCCGGCTGTGTCCATGGGGCTACACTGAGGAAATGTCCCGTGTGTCCTGCTTCTAAACAGTATAGCCCTACATCACATACATGGCAAGGCACTGCCAGCTCTAGAAAGCGGGGCCCAGCATCCCTCGGTCCTATTCGTTTTCCCAGAAACAGAGAAGAGGAATTATTCGAGGAGGTGACAAAAGAGACTAAGAGTTGGAGACCCCTCAGGACACTGGGAGAAGCTCGGTCTGAGCCATATTTAGTTGGTCGCCACCCAGTGCCTTTGATGAAGAGCGCAAACTTTTCTGTAAGCTTCCAGCCAGTGAGGACTGACAGTTCCTGTCCTCCCCAATGAGAACCTCTCATATTAATAACACATCACATAGCAGCTTGCTCTCAGAATCTAATTACTGACAGAAGAAATGCAGAAGTCCTTGCCTTTTTTCTTGGGTTCAGAGAAATACTTCAGCCAAAAGTTTTTTTTTAATAAGAAGTTTTATAGTGCCATTGTGAATAAATGAATGGTATAATTTCTGGCTGACAATTGCTCAATTCAATCAAAATGTATTGACCCTAAAATTGAACTTAACATTCACAGACATGTCCCCAGAATTATACTAATATTGGGGAATTTTCCCTAAGGAAAAAAATGTGTATTTCTCTGGTATGATTAAGTCATTTTGATTACTTCTGTCAGTAATATTCCATGTGAATTAGTTGTAAAATAATATATTTTTAATTCCTTTGTGGAAGCAACTAGGAGACAAAGGGAGTCAAAATATCTGTGAAATCAATAATAGTGTGGTGAAAACTTGCAGCTTCATTCAAATATGAACATCCCTGGAAAGCTCAACCAGCATTTATATTTGGGATACGGAAAAGTGATTCATATCTCATGCTTTCCTGAGAGATGGAAATGGAGGTTTTCCCTTTCCCAGCTGCCTGGCGGCTGAGGTGTGGGCACACAAGCTGGTCTCCATCTGTGCCTTTCCCTTTAGACGGCTCTCACTCTACAGCTGGAGAAACAAAGCAGCAGGAATAGGAGAATTGTTTCCTTGTGGAGCAGCTGTGGCAGCAGGGACACACAGAGTCCTGGAATGATCGTGAGGGCTTTGAATGCCATGCCTACAGGGTTTGAATTTTATCCTACAGGGACAGAGGGACACAGGGGGCTCTATGGAGAGGTCATGTTCTCAGCTCTGAGGTCTAGGAAGATGACTCTGGCAGCGTCACGCAGGATGGACTGAAGGTGGCAAGTCTGGAGACAGACTTTTGGGGAGCTAACTCTGCACCACAGTTCTGCATCTCCCCTATTCAAGACACTGGGTGCCAACGCTGCTACCCTGGCCCTTTATGACATGGCTGCTGTTGAATCTTTGCTTCTGCCCAGTAATCTCAACCTACTCCGTTGCGTGCTTCTCTATTCTCCAAAATAAAAAAAAATCATTCCATGCCTTCATGTCTATATTCTCATATTCTCTTCCCATGATTCAAGAAATTCCTTACTCCCCTTCTCTGCCTGACACATCCAGGTCCAGTTCTGGGGGGTCAGTATTTCTAAAGAGACTGAACTTCTCCCTGGAAAAGGCAATGAAGAAATTTCTGAATGCCTCTTTGGGAATGAATTTATTAGAACTTTCCTTCATTAATAAGAGGAACAAATACTTGGATTTGTGAGTGAGTGAGTGAGTGAGTGAGGAAAAGTAGAAAGAGAGAAAATGAATCCATTAATAATAAAGGCTGTTTTCCAAATTTTGATGGAGGGATACATTTGGAGTCTGAGATTGGCAGATAACTAACTACTACATATAAAATAAATAAACAACAAAATCCTACTGTACAGCACAGGGAACTACATTCAATATCTTGTAATAGCCTAGAATGAAAAAGGATATGAAAAGGAATATAAATATGTATAACTGAATCCCCATGCTGTACACTAGAAATTAACACAACATTGTAAACCGACTATACTTCACTAAAAAAATTCACATAAAAACATATATTACTCTCATAATTTGAAAAAATAATTTTTAAAAATTTTAATCCATTATTCCTGTAATTATATTCATTTTTGTCAGGCGGCTCAAGTACCCCCGCTGAGGCAGGCTTGCAGACCGTTAGCCCAGCATGGGGCTGTTTATCTTGGTCTGGGGTTCCCTAAAAACCAGATCTGGAGTCAAAGGCTTTCATGGTAAACTTTATTGGAGAGTACAATCTCAGGGAAGCAGGAGGGGAGATAGAGGAGGGGGGATGGGAAGCAAGAAGAGCAATTATAAGGAAGACATTACCAAGCTGGTCACAACTCAGTCTCCGGAGATGTCTTCAGGGAGATCTTATAAAACTACTGCTTCTCCATACAAGCTAAATATGGGAGAAAGAAAGGGAGAATTATCGCACTGGTGAAGTTTATCCCATGGGGGCACCAGCTCCCTCACAAGTCCAACTTGCATTACTGAGCCCCTCGGCAACCTCAGGGAAGCCTGATCCCCGGATACAGGAAGCCAGCCCCTGGCAGTACCTGGGCTGTGAGTCCCTCGCCAGTGGGGGGGTCCGGGTGGTGGAGGGGGGCAGAATCACGATGAGACCGCGTGCAGGCATCACTCTGAATCTCAGGGCTCCATGCTGCTTCCTGTCTCCACAGCAGCAGGGCAGCCACAGGTTAACAGGGAAGGCTGGGAACAGGTGGAGTGCCCTGACAACTGGCCCCGCCACAAAGGTGACCACAGGACCAGAGATCAAAACCTCCCCTCTTCAGCCTGGGAGAGTACAGGTGCTGTCAGGCGATCTTCCCAGAGGGCCATCAGTAGCATCAAGCAGAAGACCACGGCCAAGAGGATACGGAGTGGTGCAAAAACTGGGTTCGGTAGAACATCTGATAAAAATAAAAGTGATAATTAAGAAATCAAGCAGAAGCTTTACCAATGATCGGTTCTGTAATCTAGTAAGTTCCTTACACTGGTTGGTTAGCATAGGTGAGGCTCTGCTAGAAGAAAAGTCCCCAAATCTCAGCTGTTTCAACATAATAAAAAATTCTTTTTAACTTATGTCTCAGTCCAGTGTCCATTGGAGCCCCCCCTCCTTGTAGTGACACCATCTGGGATGGATGGACCTCAGTTTGACCTAAACTATGGAGATTATGATTGTCTCTCTCTCTCTCCTCCATTCTCTCTCTCTCCACTTGTATGTCTCTCTCTGAGTTTATTGTCAGTATTAAGTGAGGTGATGTTGGTAGGCATCTCAGTTATAAATCAAGAAAGTCTGTCTAAATTTAGCTCCGTAGGAAAGGGGGCTGTTGGATAAGGTGGCTTTGAAGCCCAACTAACCATCTTGGAAGGTAGGGTTGGGCTCTAGTCCTCAGGGTACTGGAGAACTGAGGTCCTCGGTCAGTCAGGCAGATGGTTCATAGATGGGGAGGGTGAGGCACGGAGGCAACAGCCCAGGGTTCATAGAGGCAGCAGGATGCTGTAATCAGCCAAGACTTACCTAACATCCATCGGGAAGTAACGCGCTTTATCCAGACTTCATTCATAGCAAGAACCAGTCCTTTAATGTTCTAATATACTGGATGGGCTGAGTCTTTAGTTCTTAGACCTGGGAGTGGAGGAAGCAGGCAAGGACATCTCAGATTCTTCTGGTCCCTCAAGTCTGGCCTTCATCACCAGGTTCTACTCTTCTGAAGTTGCAGGTGGAGTAGAATTTTTTCAGTTGTCTCATCTCTTACAGCTGTGTCAGACTGAACCCATGACCAAGTATGTCCAGAGTCCTGGCCCCTTAACATGTAGCTTCCCACCCTCTCCTCTTGGTCTCCTCATATTCAACATTCTGGAGGCAGCACACTGTACCTATTTCAGTTAAGAGTCATTTTCCTTCAATAATGGAAGTTCAGAGGTTGAAGTCCAGGGCTGGGAAGGCAGTTCTGTATTTTTATCAAGACCTGAGACTCCCTCTATGCTTCTCCTCTGCATTCTGAATGGAGCACTGCAAATACTTCAGGATGATGAGAGTGTAAGCTGCCTGTCACTGCTTAATAAGCTTTGCTTTGTTTTAATCTACTCCTAAAATTTCAGCAATTATAGGGAACTATATTCAATATCTTGTAATAACCTATAACGGAAAAGAATCTGAAAAAGAATATATATGTACATACATGTATATAATTGAATCACTGCTGTACACCTGAAACTCATTGTAAATCAACTGTACTTCAATCAAAACAAAAAATAAATGTTTTTTAAAAGACCAATTACTGCCATTCTTCCTAAAATGCATATCCTCTCTGTAGAAGTAAAGCAGAAAGCAGTGGTTTATTCCTTAATATAAGTTGGTTTCAAAAGATCATTAATTCCTGGTAAAATGTTGGATTTTGCAATGGTGCTGGAAGGACGGGAGGATCATTTTGGAGCAGAGGGCACCGGGGCGTGCATGCTCAGTGCTATAACAAAATCCCAAAGACTGAGTGTCTTATAAACAACAGAAATTTATTTCTCACCATTCTGGAGGCTGGGGAGTCCAAGGTCCAAGGTACCAAAAGATAGAGTGTCTGATGAAGGCCCACTTCTTAGCTCATTGACAGCCGTCTCCTCGCATGGAGGAGGGAGCGAGGGAACTCAGTGCCATCTGCTTTATGAGGACGTTAATCCCACTGTTATCAAATTCTTACATAAAATATTATAGTAAAAGCAGAGCCCTCACGACCCAGCCACCTCCCAATGCCATCACGCTGAGGGCTAGGATTTCAACAAATGAATTTGGGGGGAACACAAACAATCCGTCTATAGCAACTGGGAAAGTTAGGTGTCAGAGAAGAGAGGACTTTTACAGGTACAAAGAGGGAACAAGGCTTTACCTCCAGCCTAAAGGATTTGTTTCAAGGCTGCACGGGAACGTTAGCTTGCTGGGATAGCGTCTCATTCTCACCCACGGAATCATGCGTCTTTCAGTACCTTGAAGACTGGCACAATAGGGCAGGCCTCCAGATGTCTAGTGCTACAATCCGTACCCAGATATCTGCTTCTCTGTATGCATCTATTCATTCCACGCACACACACACAAAATGATTATCATATTAATTGAGATAATTCTAGCCATTGGGACAAATAAGCCCAAATACATAAAAATATAAAAGCTTGAAAACAATAGGAGTTTCTCATTCAAGTATAGTCCACACAGGTGATCCTGTTGGTCACAGCTTTATTCTAAGTGATGGTTCAGGGACTCGGTTTCCTTCTGTCTTGTGGCTTCACCATCCTCAGTACACAGCTTCCAAAATCACCGCACTCGCCTCCCACAAGCCAGTGGGGCTGTTACCGGGAAAGGGGAGAGTAAGAATTACCTCTGTTCTTAGTCACCCGAAAAACAAAGAACGAGAGACAGAAAGCATGATATAAGCAGATTATTAGTGAAGTCAAAAAGCAGCAAAAGATAGGACACTCCCGAGAATTGGGAGCGGGCCGCTCCAAGAGAGGAAAAACAGCACCCTCCCCCTTTGTTTTTCCATCTTACATCCTGGCTCAGGGGCATTTTTTTGTGATTGATTGATGATTGATGGCTCTGGTTCTTTGAGTAATCAGGCTGACTGACAGCTCAGGTTCCTCGTGCTGTGGCACGC